TTGAGCAATTCTACAACACGGACAGTATGGTTATCGTAAAGATTGATATCGAGATGAGACTAGAGAAAATGAAATATATAATATTTACTATAAGAGATTATTGTGTTAATACAAAAAATAACTTAAGCATACCAGGTTGGAACAATTATCTAGCGCCTTTATGACACAATTTTTTGGAAAAGGAGGATATATTTCGACATGAACAAGAGAACTTATGATTGGAGCATAGCATGATTTCGTCCATAAACCGTAAAGTTTATCATTGTTTGTGCCGGTATTATCCATAATAAAAGTAGTTAGACGGATTTCACGACTTGTTAACATTTTAAGTATTGCATCGACGTTTGTGATATCTTTATCAAGTTCTAGTAGGTTTGTAAAGTTGAGTTCTTTAAGGAAAAATGGATAATCGTAAAGCGTTGGAAGGGTTTTAATTGTAGTTTGAGACGAATGAATCGTATCGTTTTCTTGTTGTTCAAGAAATAAACGATAAATTTTTAATGCGAGCATGCTTCGTTTTTTCTTATAACTGAATGGAGCTCTCCAATATATTGGAACAGCAACTTGGCTCCATTCACGATTAACTAAAAGTGCTGAAAGCAAATCATGAGCACCAAGAGTTTTAAAAATTTTTATCAAAATATCTGATACTAAGCGTGGTTTAATAATATCTGTTGACATTATTGTAGCGAAAAAAATTTGATATTGAAAAAAATTTGATATTGAACAAAACTAACAAAATTATGAAATTAACTCTAACATTATTTATACTTTTAAGCTCGTAGAATTTATTCCGCATGTCACGCAGTTTTATTCCGAACATCCACATTTGTCCCAAAGTTTTTTGATCCTCCAAGATTTGTTGCGTTGTATTCCTTTTTATTTCCATTTTAGTAAACAATGGCCATTACTGTAAAAAATTCCTAATTTTATATAATATTGATACGTCAGATTATTGTTACGTATGAGATATGAGCACCAAAAGCATAAATTTTGCCGCCACAAATTTTAGACGTCCAAATCGTGTCATCATGATTTTTTAAACAATGCAATCATGGTCTGGGGTTGTCTAACTCATATAACAGTTAGAACAAAAATGACAGGGAGACAATTTACTTATAAATCCTTGTTTTAATTAAATAAGATATATACATTGCAATAATGGAGTTATTTGTACGTAATAATATTTCATTGTCTGGTTTTAAATTTACTAAAAATGACTTAATTTTTTGCGACATTTATGTTACGTATACAAAAACTTTTTTTTTAGCATATGACTTAATCATCGCCAAAATAGCTTGAGTTATTGATTATAATAAGCTGCGTATCGAATGAGTAACTCTTCCTTAAACACACGCTATAAATGCTAACATTCTCCATAAATTACATGTTATAGTTTGGTCCCTACATGTAAATCGGTATCTGTATATCTTGATCTCCATAAATGCACACTCTAAATGCATCGTTTCCATTTTTTTGGCTGTATACTTGGTCACTATGGTTATGATATCACAATTTTTATATTCCCCATTTTAGTAAACAATGCACTCTGATTTATGATATCACGATTTTATCTTCTATCCGATAGGTACGATTGTAAACAATGACTGACAGATTAAAACCTGCGGTAGTAATATGAAAAATTTCCTGTCAGTATATACGTCATACCTGTCAGATAACAATATGCATTTTTATACGTACGTATTGTCAATTTATTACAAGGTGACGACTAGTAACGTCTAGTAACCTGTGAATTCACCTGCTATTAGCATAAGATAATGAGTATTATACAGCTTTGATATGACAACACTGCGGTAATATGTTCGCAGACAAATTTGCCTGTGCGCAGATACTTAATCATTTGAACCGAAAGACATGAACTTACCCTTGAAAAATCAGACAATTCGCAATGTAATACGTATCAAAAGTTTGATATGTTATAGGCAATTGTTTTAGTCTCGATGACCACCTGTGTTGGATGATTCCAAAAGCCTCAAAAGAGATGAATATAAAAGACGGTGCGTTGCTCTCAGTATTGCGTTTATGGAAATTTAAAAAACGGTGTAGCGAACAGAATACCAAATCCAGATTATGATACTGCGCTTAGAATTTTCAAGAGGTTTCTATATGGAATATATGGCGACGGAATAATATGGAAATTATCATTATTGACGTTAGGCCGGTACACGTACGTACGTACGTACTATTAAAACAGTGCTCATGCACGTGTCTGGGACCAAGTTTTAATGGGGTACATGCTGACACTTGCAGAGCCTTACTGACAATTAACGTTAAGATTAGCAACCATTGACTCTGAACTGTCTGCGAAATGGGACTTCGCTATATTTATCGACATTTAGTCTGTCGAAATTAATTTAATTAGTGGCAAATTAATTTTCATCGTTGTCGAAATTCTTAGTGAAATTATTTGAATTCTATATGACAAAATAATTAAGTAGTACAGCTATTTTGTGGAATTTATATTAAAAATTAGCAATATCGAAATGTTTGTCGAAATTACCTTTTTTAAAAAATAATTTAGACACCCATGTATAGCTATATTGTGGTCTAATAAGAAAGTGCATCTTTCTCGGATATCTCGAAGGATTACATTTAGAAAGAGAATGGTTATTTGCCAAGAACTGTTAATAAGTTTATTAACTAATATTGTAAATATAAACCTATGACTCACACCGCCTATACGTATACTCATCAAATTCTCAAACTTTCGAAATTTAATATTACCAAGAAAAAAAATGATATTTAGTCCGAAATTTGAGAAATTACTTAATTTTATTTAACTTTTAATACTTCAAATAATAGATAAATTAAAAATCAAGATGTTATTCGAAGTTATATGAACTGTGAATCACTTTTGACGACTACGTATAAGTGACGTGAACCATACTAAAATCACTAAAATACTCTTACGCACTAATGACTTTAACCTAAATTCTAACCCTAAAAAAAGCTAAGAAATGTATCGCAAAAAATCGTATATATACCAAAATATATTAACATCCAATACCAGTATATCGATATGCACAACTTTACTTATCAGTATGGATACATTTGTAGTCAATATTCTATTAACGTACGTACGTAGGCGTATTGCTAACATAAAATAATTATATATATATATAGTAACTTTAAAATTATAAAAATCAATAGTAGTAGGCGTATTGCTAACGTATAGTAAACGCAAAGAAAATTGCTACTATATGAGTGCGTGAGAGTGAAAACCTGGAAACCGATCATAGCAAATCATTAAATCGGTTTCCAGATTTCACACTCACGCACTCATATACCAAGTAATTATATCTGATATAGTTAGTTAATTGCAAGTAGTATTAAAGTTGCAAATTTGGCAGTTTCAGCAAAGTAGTTGGTGTCTAAAAAGTACTTTTCGAAATACTGTATATCATTCGGCAGGTGTTTTAGGAATTATGAAAACAGCTGTAACAACATCAATCTTCGCTTCCAGGTTTTTAATTTAATTTCGGCAAGGGTTTCGGATTCGCATAAGTTTCAAATCAGGGTTTCTGATTTTCGGTTTCGTCAAAACCGTTAAAATTTCGGCCACATGGAGTAGAATCTGTCACTTTTTTTCGCCATAATGCATCCCATGCAATACAATTCTGGTCATCTCTGCCGATGATCAATAAATTAACTTTATCGTTATGGGCAATTTTTTAGTTGCAAGGAATAATGAAAATAGCCGTAAAAATTGAAGAAACAATAAATTAATTAACCTTAGAGGTTAGAATTTAAAGAAAGTTTTAAGAGTTGATTAAATATGTACATATATATATAATTACCAGTTCTCGAGATCAACTATATATATGACGAATTAACCAATGATATGAGCCTCTTTAGATGTATTACAATAGCTTCGTACAACAGAAGTTTAAAATGAATTTCGTTTTTCCTCTCTCCGTTTTCAATATTTTAAGAACGAGAAAACATGCCGCAGTTTGCATTTAATCCGAATAGACTTAAGATTCACCTTAAGCTAGCTGTTAACCGTCTTAAGCTTGTACAACAAAAGAAAAATGTACTTAACAAACAAGCGCGAAAGGATATTGCTGCTTTACTTGAGAATTCAAAAGAAGAAAGCGCAAAAATACGTGTATGTCATTGTCAATACAAATTTATTGAGTCACTACATGGTTCTCATAATTAGTTCAAGATCGATAGGGCTGTTAGAGAACATAACATCTTTTTTTACATTACTCTTAACGTAGGTTGAAGGCATTATTCGTGAAGATTATTATATCGAAGCAATGGAGATGCTGGAACTTTATTGCGAACTTCTTTTGGCAAGATTTGGACTTTTGGAACAAATGAAGTATGTTTTATGGTGTATATATCTGTCGATGCATTATTAATGCTTTTTTGTGCTACTAGGCATTGCGATCCTTCTATAAGTGAAGCAGTAAATACTTTAATCTATGCGGCACCCAGATCAGAAATTAAGGAATTAAGTTTAGTGAGTAATAAACTAAACTTCTTTTTTTGTTGCAAGTATTTAATGATTAATTTTAATTTAGTTTGGATATTTTTTTAGGTTCGTGATCAATTAATTGCAAAATTTGGAAAAGAATTCGCATTAAATGCGATCGAAAATAAGAATAATTGTGTGAATGAAAAGGTATGCATCAATGTTTTATTTGTTTACTATCATAGAGATTAATGCTTTGACTTAGGTTATCTGTTCGA